TTTTCTCTTCCCATTATGTTAATTATATGGAATTAGACCCTTCATATAACTGCTTATGTATAAAATTCCTGGATCAAAGTGAAAACATAGTTTCTGACTCTTGATATCCATGCCACATTTCTTAAAAAAAAAAAAGGAGAGGTAGCCATGTACACTGGTCCCAATTATGTTTGTATGTGTAAATTTGTTTGCAGTTCTAGTGAAAAGATTAAAATATCATGACATGGAACGCTTATGGGATACTTAAAATTAATCCTAAGTATTCAATTTTTCTAGTCCCAGTAGTTGCTCTCAATTAAGCAGTTGAAACAAGGAATTTATCTTATGTGATCACAACTAGAAGTGCTAACAAGAACATTTTTTTTTCTTTAGTGGATGAGTCTTGTCCATTAATATTTCATAAATAAAGAGTATCTCATCAATCAGTTATTATATTTTCTTAAAATGTGACTCCTATATCCACAGATGGTAAATAACTTACCCAAATTCACAGACATATTTACAGATGTGGGACCAAAGAGCCAGAGGTCTGATAAGTAAGAATCTGCTTTTCAGATAAAGCCTGGCGCAGATTAACACATCCCTTATTTAGCCTCCTGAAGCCCACACATAACAGATTTGAGTGTTTGAAAGCCATAAATTTTAGAGTAACTATGTTGGGGGGAAAGGAACTGTTGACTCCAAAAAAGTATCTCCTGTCACTCCTCACTGCAAATGTCATTATTTTACTCATCCATTCACTCAACAAATATGTATTTTAGGTTCAAAATATTGACCATAATATTTACTTTACTCACTCCAATTCACTTTAATGATTTTTATTACAGATATGTTATTATATACTGTAATAGTCTATCAAATCTTAAGCCTGTCATTCAGCCTTTCCTTTTTAAGCTACCATCCAATTGTTCAAAATCTTTTTAAAAAGATTTCCTTTATTTATTTGACAGAGAGAAAGAGGGAAAGAGGGAGCACACAAGCAGGGGGAATGGCAGGCAAAGACAGAGGGAGAAGCAGGCTCTCCACTGAGCAAGGAGCCTGATGTGGGACTCTATCCCAGGACCCCGGGATCATGACCTGAGCCGAAGGCAGTTTCTTAACCAACTGAACCACCCAGATGCCCCAACTGTTCAATATTTTGAGCAGGATTTTCACACTTACAGTCATCATCTTTCTAACAAATGCTGCCCTTTCACCTGGTGCCGAGTTAGAGAAGGACACTGAAGTATTTCTTGGTTACTCCACAGTACAAACATTAGCCTTGTTTACCACATTGCTCTCAACTTAAATATTAACTTCAAAGCCCTACTACCCTTTATAAGTTAACACAGCTTCAAAACCACCTAATCCTCTTTATTCTACCTTTACAAAATTAGTTATAAAACTCTCATGATTCTCACCAAGAATACTATTGTGAACTTAGCTGGCTCACCACGTCCAGACTTGACGTTCTGAATTGCACTTGCACACTGTAAACAAAAAAGTTTCAGTGTCTCAATTCTAACCAAGTTATTCCCCTGTATCATAAATTGGGTCTGCTAGAAAATAGGACTGGAGACAAACTTCCTTCTTAATGCTGAGCCTTACCACTATCCCCTGACCCATAAAGGGTACTTGCATAATCAGAAAGTCAGAAAGCAGGAACGAAGACAAGATCAAATGTGTCTAAGCCACTGAAACTTTCTGCATTATCTAAAAAAAAAAAAAAAATTTCCTGAACTATTCGGCACTGAGTATCTACCAATAATGGAAAGAAAGGAAGAACTGTCTCTGCTTTGAGCCCACATTCTGTCCAGTGTGTCTGTCAGGTTCTACAACTGTGCCTCTCAGAACATAGACAAAAGTACATTCTGGTGCTCTGGATAATGGGAAAAAAAAAAAAAAAGTTCTACCTACCTAGGTTTGTTCCACCGCAGGGATGTGGGAGCTTGTAGTTTTTTTAAGCTTAGGTCTCTTCTGTGACTATCAAGGACTGTACCAATGTGTGGGGGAGGAAAATTTATGTTTTGATCTCTGTGTTTCCTCATTTGCTGTATTTCCACACCTAGAACTCCTGATAAGCAGTTCTATGTTTTCAGACAAAGTTGATATACATAATGTTTTGTTCCATAAAATCAAAAGCATTATAACATAATCTTCAATACTGATAGTTTTATTTCCATTCATTCTTTTTCTATTAATCTGACAAAGACTATATTTGTTCTTGTAACTCACTAAATAAAATTATTTCCTTCAGAGCAATTTCTAGGAAATTCATATTTTCAACCAACTTCTCTTGGTCTTTGCTTTAGTACCTTATTAATTATAAAGTTGCTAAAATAAAATAAATATAAACAAAACAAAAAATAAAAATATTTCCAATGATAGTTGAATTTCAGGAATATCTATCTATCTATCTACCTATTAACTACCAACTCAATGATCAGGCTATGATTTGTATACCAAACAAAGTATTAACAAATAACTGTATTAAGATGATATTACAATAAAAATCAACAAAGTGGATTAAACTTCATTGAGAATGACCAAGGGAAAAAGATAGAAGACAAAAGTTATCAATGTAAGGAATGAAAGAAGGGATATCACTGCAGAATGCAGAGATGCTAAAAGGAAATAAAGAAACACTGTGAATATATTTATGAAATAAATTTAACATCTGGAAGGAAATGGAATTACCTGAAATACACACATTATGAACACTGACTCAAAAATAGATGATCTCAGTAGTTTAATATCTATTAAAGAAATCTAATGTATAGACTAAAGCATTACAATGACAATAACAAAACCAACTCCACCTGGTTAGCCATATCACTGGCTAATTCTACCAAAAACTTAAGGAAAAAAGTAATTCAGCATAATCCCTTCTATTTTATGAGGTCAGCATTACTCCAATACCAAAACAAGACAAATATATCATAAGAAACACATAGAAATAACTTTCAATATAGATGCAAAAATCATTAACAAAATCTTATCAAATCAAATACAAAAGTATATCAAAGGATAATACACCACAATCAATGGGGTTTATTTCAAGAAAGCAACACTAGTTTAACAAAAAAAATCAATGTATACAATTCACCATATTGACAGAATAAATATGAAACCCCATATGATCTTCTCAACATACAGAAAATATATTTGACAAAACTTATTTATTCATGATAAAGAAAAAACTCAAAAAACTAGGAATAGATGGGAATTCCTATTATCTGAAAAAAGCCATCTACAAAACCCTACAGTTACAACATACCCAATAATGGCCTACTGAATGTACTCCCCTGTCCCCCAATACTACTGTGTCTGCCCTCCCTACTCCTGTTCAACATCTACTGGAAGTCACAGCCAACGTAACACGGCAAGAAAAGAACAAAAGACCTACAGCTTGGAAATTAAGAAATATAAATGTCCCTATTGAAGATATAATAGTACATGTGGAAAATCCCAAAGAATCTTTTAAAAAAATCCAGTATAGTAGAGTATAGTAGACTTTGCTTTCTGAAAAAAGCATTAAAATAAGAGATGGAGTTTAATTTGTTAGGCCACAATGAGATGCATTTTCCACATTATTTTTGTTCCCATAGGCCAGAGTCTAGTGTCTAAGACAGTGTTAAGTGCCAATTAATATACTGTAGTTGACAACATGGTATCAAACTGTGACAAGAGTTAAGTCAGAATCATACAGAATCATACCGATTGCCACTTTCTGGTTCTATTGGGGATGGTACAGACAGGATTGCATTAAGCCATCTCCCAGTACCTCCTTAAATTTTGGTTAGACATGTACTAAGAGAGGCCACCTGTGTCTTTTGACTACATAATTACAAACTGATAGTGTTCCAGGCCTTTCAAAAAAGTCAAAGCATAATGATGACTGTTCTCTCGTCAAGTAGTTTGGGGGTTATTTCAGGCTGCATCAGGATCTATGAAGCAAAGGAGACTAAGAAAAAGCAGAACTGGGGCTCCTGGGTGGCCTCCTGGGTTAAGCTTCTGCCTTCGGCTTGGGTCATGATCCCAGGGTCCTGGGATCGAGCCCCTCATTGGGCTCCCTGCTCAGTGGGGAGCCTGCTTCTCTTCCTCTCTCTCTCTGCCTGCCTCTCTGCCTACTTGTGATCTCTGTCTGTGAAATAAATAAATAAAATCTTTTAAAAAAAGAAAAAAGAAAAAACAGAAACTGTGCGCAGAAAGTGTGTGTATTTTCCTTTAAAAATATTTTATCTTCATTTATTTGAGAGAATGAGAGATAGTGCAAGAGAGAGCGCACCAAGTGGGGGAAGGGAGGAGGGGCAGAGGAAGAGGGAGAAGCAGGTTCCCTGCTGATCCCAGGTTCCAACCCAGGATCCAGGGATCATGACCTGAGCTGAAGGCAGATGCTTAGCCAACTGAGCTACCCAGGCACCCCCCATATTTTCCTATTTTAAAATATCTTTACTCATTGGAATAGTTTTATAGGGTCCTGAGGTTAAAAGACTATAACTGACTTCGTGATGTAAAATCTTCATGGCACAGATGGAAATAATAATAGGAAATGATGACTCCTTTAAGGTGAAAGGATAAGAACAGGGCTTATTTTAATTCTTTTATTTCATGGAAATTTGTACTCTTTAGGGATAGGATCAGTAGCAGCATGGTCTATGCAGCTGACCTACTGTACAGCTCCCAGTATAGGGTTAAAATTATAGTCTGAAGCAAGTGGCTTCTCAGAAATTGTGTAGGTGGGCGGTTCTGGTACATATGCTTCACACCAGACCAGAGTCCCAGAGTACCTACAACCTTTCCATTTATTCCATTTTTTCCTATTATGGAGGGTGTGAGATGATGCCATTGTTGATGCTGATGAATCATATGCTTCATTTATCATTTCTAAATGTAATCATGATCGGGGTTAGAGCAGGAGACCATAGCAGAGTCAACACCAGCCAACTGTGACTTTTTCTCCCCTTGAGAACACCGAAGGCTCTATTTACTGCCTGATTATTGATTTACTCTCAATAATACATTCAGAGTAAATCCAGGAATAATTCAAAAGTTGACATATCAAACAACTAAGTGGGTTAGAAAGCCACCTCATCATAGTCAGGATAAAGAACAGTTATGGGAAGTCCATGCTCATTGGAGGATAAGTCGACAACCACCTGTGGAGGAAGAACACATGGTAGATGATTATTTCATATGTTATGACATTACACTTGCCCATGACCCTAGTTCTCCTAATGCACGAATGCTCCTTGGGACCCCTCTTCTCTTTCTGACATGAACATCTACATCCAGTCAAGCAACCTTCCACTAGTACCCAGTCTAATTTTACACATGTGGCTGCTAGTGGCAAAACAGATTGCAAGGGGCTCATAACCTGACAGGGGGTCTTGGATGTTTTGTATGCTTTGAAAGGTTCAGTAAAACTTAAAGAGGTAAATGTAAAAGTGGCAAAGAATATCCTAAAACGCATTCTGGGTCTTCTGGATCACAGACACTCACGGAGGTCATATCACAGCAGACAGCACTGCATCCAAATGCAGACAGCAACACCGAGATGATGAATCCCAAGATGATGAGGGCAAGCTTCATAAACAAAATCCCCTGCAAATTAAAATCACACAGGGAGGAAAGATGGAAGGACTGAGCGAGGGAACTCTTGCCATGGACCCTGCAGGTTCTCCTTCATACCTAATTGACAGATTGTCAATGGCAGTAAAATATCCCACTCTGGCCACCTTCAGATAAAATCTGGGCAAAGACACACATAATTACTCTAATTTACAGACTCCCAAATTTGCAATTTCATTCATTTATAGTTTTCACATGGAAGAAGTGAGATTCTCTTAACCAATTTTTTTCTCAACATAACCAATTGGTAAAGAGTCTGCACATTTGCAAGCCATGCTTTGGCTTGTTTTAGGATCCCTTTACATTCCACAGTAATTTTCACCATATAATCAAGGAGATCAGTATCAGATTTATTAAACAGATACTTTCTAGAAAGGATCCTGGACTTTGTCTATCATTATGCTGAATGGATTAAACATCTAGATTTCTCTTTACCTTAATAAAGACAGCAATTACAATCATTGAGTGAATTCATTGGCAACCATTCTGATCTCATCTCAAATACGGGTTTTATTTAGCTCACCTGATGTACTTAAGTCCTAACATCACCAATAATTTATAGTTCAGAGATATTTACTCGCTCAGTGTCGAGGCCCTGACATTTTTCTTCAAGTGATTTGTCAGTTTAAAGCAGTGCCAGATTGCCCACTTGTGATGAGAAAGACGTCTGCAAGGAATTTCATATATATATGGATAAGTACCAAGAGATTATTTTTCACTGGATCTGTCAATACTTACAGTTATGAAATAATGAGCTGATATGTTTAAGAAGTAATAGGATAGGGTCATTCTGAGTGCAAGGATTATTAGTGACAATCCTGTTGATACGGCTGCCACAGTGTTTGCTCCAACGCTGCCACAGATCTGAAAAAGAATCAGAACCTGTTCTTCTACTCTTGAACCTGGCAAGTGATTGTACATATGTGTGCATTTTATTTAAAATTCAAGTAAAATCGGAATTCATAAAACTTGTGCACAGGGTTGCTATTTGCTACTGGGTAATTTCTCATTTGAGCTGGACAGAGACAACATGACCTGTGGGGAATAGGGAAGGAATCATTCTGGGATCTCAACTCAAGGCAAAGAGAAACCTAGGAATTGGAGACAGCTTGATCATTTTGGAGACAAAGGTTGGTCTACGCTATGCCTGTCTTAATTTTCTGAAACTGTAGATAAATGTACCATCTGTTTTGTTGTCTTCTTTCCAGACACAATAGACACAGTTCCGGATATGATTAACTGTAAAATGTTAAAGTTCAATGAGTTAGTCTGTGAATACATCACTCTGTAATCTTTTTTCCTGACACCAAATACTTCTCAATACTTTTCCCTGAATTTTGTGCTTATAAATGATAACTATTAAGGATTTTACATACATCCTAAGTAATACAGAAATCAAAGTGATTCCAATTTACTTACAAAAATTGGTCCCAAAAGGAAAATGAAGAAATATGCAGCATTCCCTGGGACTAGATATCGTTCATAGAATGAAAGGAAGACTTTTACCATAAGCCATAGATAAATATTCATTAAGCCAATCACGATTTGGCTCACCTAGAAAATGAGAAAATGCCTCTGAGTTAGGAGGAATAAGCTTTAGAATTATTTGCCCCACATTTGAAGGTTGTAAATGATTCAGGATTCCTTTAATTTCAAGAATTCCATGACCAGTGCTTAAATTTTCATTCAGTGTTACCGAATATAAAACAGTTTGGTGATTTGGCTAAATGGCATATGTGATTTCTTATTCAAAAGTCCTATTTTTCTCTTGATTTGGGAATTATTGCAAACACTCCAAATTCTCCTCTCAGGTCATCATGTAGCTTTGATCCAGAATAAATTTAGGGGAATATGAGCCACCTCAAAATCCCTACGGAACCTTCATTGTACTTACCCCAAGAATAACTGGCTTCCCCTTTAGGAAATTCTGCAGGTTGTTCTGTGCCTCCTGAGGGAAAGGCATTGGTCCAGACTGGCCCTGGCGAATGGCTTGATCTCTTTGTTGAGGATCCATGGTTATGCCCCTTGATGCCGTTGGTCTTCACAACCTGTGGGTTGTGATACTGAGTCACAGGTAGTGTTGAGTCACAACACATGCCTGGCATGTGCTGGCCAGAAAGATCAGGTAAAAGGATTAGTCTCTTTGGTCCCATGCTATAGTTAGTGTTCACAAATATTTCAAAGTAAAAGGTAGGTACTGTGCTAAATGTAAGAAATTAGGCCATGTAATTGTTTGAATTCTTTTTTTTTTCATTTTATTTTATTTCTTTTCAGTGTTCCAAAATTCATTGTTTATGCACCAAACCCAGTGCTCCATGCAATACTTGCCCTCCATAATACCCACCACCAGGCTTAAGAGTGGGAAAGCTAACATTTATTATTTAGCGATGTACTTCAAGCAGGTCCAAATGGCATATTCTCTCTTATCTTGAGTTCCAGAAAGGCTATGTAAGGAATGTAGACTTACATTATAGGAAGCCGAGGATCTTAGCCTTAGTGCATGTGTCTTATGGATCTTTTTGTCTCGAAATAATGTTGACCATCTTGGTCATGCAGCTGAAAATTAATATTGCCCTCTAGTCCTGGTATTCCTGCCCCATGGAGAGACAACAAAGTATTTGTTACTTTGTTTCTGTGTTTTGCTGTGTAGAATTCTTTCATTTACACTTCTGTTCCTAGGTAGTTATCTGGCATAGTTATTTTTGTTCTGTCTCTAGATTCAGGCTCCTTCTGAAGTTAAAGAACTAACAGCATTTGACTCAACAAGCAACAATGTAACATGCATGCTCTTAGACTCAGAGTTTGCTCCCTCTTGATACCCCTGACTAGCTCACAACAGGTGACTCACACAACTGACTCACCACACAAACTGCACACAACTCGCCACACATCTTTGCACTGGCATAGCTGGGTAGGTGATTTGGTACCACATCTGCCTGAGCCGTCAAACCCTTGTTTTTCTACTCATGATCTGCCTACAGAAATGCTAAGCAAAATACCCACATATTAGGAGTGCTTTTCTTCTCTAACAGCAAGAAATCTTCTTTTTTTATTTGAACACATGGACCATACTGAGTATAAACAAAAAATATATAGCCTTTTTTGTCTTCATCATGATGACAATGGATACTCTGTTTCATGTACATTTCTCCTTGAAGTGAAATCATAGGAAACTTGGTAGAGTCCATGGAGCTAGAATTTCATTTTTCCTATAGAACTGTAAAAATTTCTAGCTGTATGGTGTACAGGTATGTTCAAATTTATCAGAAAATATATTAAAAGAATAGCAATAAAACAAATATTTCTTCTACCTACCTTTATTAAGTTCTGTAAAATCTGATAGTTCTTCTACAGAAATTAAAACCTTTTATTCTGAGGAGATTGACCAAACAAAAAGGAAAGGAAACATTATACAGTTGAACCTTGAACAACACAGTTTTGAACCTTGCAAGTCCACTTATTATGTGGATTTTTACAGTATGATAGTACAGTACTAAAAATGTATTTTCTCTTCCTTATGATTTTCTTAGTAACATTTTCTTTTCCTTAGTTTACTTTATTGTAATAATATAGCATATTATTATAACTTATAATATAATACTTATAACATAAAATGTATGTGTTAATTGACTCTTCATGTTCCTGGTAGGACTTCCAGTCAACACTGGGCTATTAACAGTTAAGTTTTGGGGGGAGTCCAAAGTTATATCAGATTTTCTACTCTGGGGAGGGAGGGTGGCCAGAACCCACCTGTGTTGTTCAGGGGTCAGTGGTAATTACTTTCAAATGGAAAATGGCATGGAAAAAATCATGCACATTTGAAAGCTAGTATTTAAATGTTGAATTTGCTTAATGCAGGCCAGTGACCCTTTCTATAGAATTATTCATGATATTCTGACTTTATTCCTACCCCTGTTTCAATGACAGTTACTGCCTTCTCATACTCAAAATTTCTGTTTTTATTACCAACAGAGAATTTACCTTAGGTATGGAAATAAATGTGTATTTTTTCTTATTTCTTGATAACATTATAATTAGTATGATACTGCCCTTACTATCTAATTTAGTATTTTTTCAAAAAATCTTTAATCCTGTTCCTTATTATTAGTCATACCTGAAGCAAAAATACATTTCTCTGAACAAACTGTAACTCACTTTTCATGATGGTAAAGTCAACATCCTAAAAAATATTTTTTTTCATTGATACCTGATAAACAAAGCAGTTTTTGGAACTGAGAGTCCACTCAATGCCATATAATTTTTTTCAACAAGTGTAATGATCATGCAAAGAATATGATTCCAGATCAAGACCATCCTCCTTTTGGATCAAAGTTCTTTCATTGACAAAAAAAAAAAAAAAGTCAAATGTCATTACATAAAATTGAATAAAGCAGCACTAAATAATACTAGCAAGCCAGACTTACAGACTAGTAGAAAGCTACTCTGTGTTGTAAATTCTAGATAGTATATGATTTTTAGGACAATTCTTCTCTGTCTTTTGAAAATGACTACATGGCTGAGATGGTTTCAGAGAACAATCTGGAATGGTTCTACGGGTCTTTAAAATTGTAACATTAAGTTTGCTACTAGAGAGTCAAACATTTTTTTTTAATGAAAAAAAAATCCCCTTAGACATTTATGTCCTTCTCAAATAACGAGTTTTATAAAAAGTAGTTTTTATAAGATTATTCTATGGCTATGGTTTCCTCCTATGGAATAATTTCAGGAAAACTTGTGTGAGTCTTAGGGCCTGGCATGGAACTGACATGCCCTCTCATATGCCAGAGGAATACCCATGTAAATAAGAATAAAAGAAAAATACATACCTCTGTCTCAAAACAACATTCAGTCTTAACTCGATATCTGTACAGGACCTGGGAACACCAGTACCTTAGAATCGGTCTCAGAGGCTTTTCAGTGAAATTCCCCCAAGGCAGCAAGCAGTATATGATCTGTGTCTCTATCAGGCACTATAGGCTGTGGGAATTTGGTATATGTAGGTTTTGCTCAGTAAGACAGAATGAAGAGATAATGATACACCATCCTAAAAGACACCACCCTAAAATACATCTTTTTGCTCTGTGTTTCTTGCAGATGGGTTTCTACGATGGCGTAAAATGCATGATGCTGACAGAGATAATCATTTATCTCTACGCTTCAGATGGCCACAGTCTTGAGTGCCAAAGCTTTGCACACTCTTTTCTCAGTGTGAGGGCAAATCTTAATTCCTATTTACCTACCACTTCCCAAAGACCTCGCTAATGAAACATGTGCTTACTGTTTGGGAAAATATTTTGACTTATAATAAAACCTTAATTTGCCCATAGAAATCCTCACCTTTAATAGAAAATATGGGATTTTTTCGTAAATATGGGGTTTTTACTCTCTTGCCTCCCAAATTATACTTCATATGTTTTGCTAACAACACCAGTTCCTCTGCGATAATGTTAGCTTCCTTGACAAATAATAATAGAAAAATAGCACACAATATTTATAGAGCCCATGTCAGGAAATCCAAAGATGGGAGTAATGTGTTATTTGTCCACATCTCTGGAATTATATTCTCCAAAAGTATAAGGGAGCCTTTGCGTGTTCTATAGTCTTGGCTAAATTATCCTTTAACTTAGAAAGAAAGTAGAAATCTGTCATCCCCTCCACTCTGTGACTCCTCTGGGTTCTTTTGTGGTACTTATGGTTACCATCATGAATTATGGAGAATCTCCGTACCACCACCCCTGCCTTCCTTCAAGGCATCATAACCTGAGGTAAAGCTACTAATAGGGAAAAAGACGTTCTTTTCTTATCCTGGTGTCTGTCTACAACTGTACAAAATGTTCCTGTTCTTGTTATCTTGTGCTTAAAATCTGTCAAAAGGAATGCTCTGCCTTTTCTTCATAAACCCGAGTGTCCTCCTTATGCAGAGGTCACGCAAATCTCTGGATTGTTCCAATTTTAGTATATGTGCTGCTGAAGTAAGCCCTGCTCTGCTTTTTCTTAACTGGAAGAATTTTCAGTACCATATTCTTCAATTCGCTGAAAAGTTCTGTTATGCAAGGAGTTTGACCTCTTTCAACAACTTTTTCTCCACCTATGGGGAGGACCATATAATTTCTGCCCTTTACTCTGAGCTGTAAAACAACCTTGCACAGCTGGCATAAACTGGCATGGTTAGGACATACTTTTTTAATATGTTGCTTGGTTTAATTTATTAATATTGTTAAGGATCTAAGTTCATGTAAATGTATTTTATTTTCTTATGATATTTTGATCTGTTTTGGACAGGGGGGAGACCTGGTTACTGCTTGCCTCAAAAATAAGCTCTGAAGTTTTTCTTCCTCTTTGATTTTCAGAATCGAATACCAATACTATTGGTATTATTTCTTCATTGGATGTTTGATAGAATTGCCCCTCAAAGCCATGTCCACCCAATCTTCTCTGCATGACAAGCCCTTTAATTATGAATTCAATTTCTTTTCATGATACAGGTCTCTTTTATTAATCAGGGTCCTCCAGAGAAACAGAACTAATAAGATGCGCCAATATGGACAATGAAATTTATTATACAGACTTGGCATGTGTGATTGTGGAGGCTGAAAAGTCCCAAGTTCTGCAATCAGCAAGTAGGAGACCAGAGATCCAATGTGTAGTTCGGGTCCAAATCCAAAGACCTAAGTAACAGGAGAGCCTACTACCAGGTAAGGTGTTAAGGACAGGGTTTATTTTCAACTATTTACATTTCATTGTTATGTATATTTTGTGGCAAATGCATCAGAAAAATCACACTCCGGCACAGATGGCCTATTGCATAACTCCAAGTAGCATTCACAGCATGGTGTGCAATGAATGACTTCCCAGAAATTGTGCAGATCAGTGGTCCTGAGACATGTTTTACAGGAGCAGACCAGTGTCCTAAATCTTCAACAGGCTTCCTGATGTGTCTCTTTCTTCATGCTAAGAAGGTTGTGACATGATGATAGTCCCGATGGCATAAGCATTGTATGCTTAATTTATTATGTTCAAAGGTAATACATTGATGGAAAGAGTAGGCGACCCCACCAAAGCCAACATTAACAGACCCATGACCTTCATATTGTTGAGGACAGTTCAGCCCCTCTTCGCTATGTAGACACTGATATATTTTCAAGAGCACAAACTACAATAAATCTAGGAGCTGCTCATTGAAGAGGTATATTAAACAACTTAAATAGGTTGGGAAGCCACGCCATCACAATCATGATATACAGAAGTTATGGAGAGTCCACACTTGTTGGAAGATAAGTGAGCTACCAGCTGTGGAGAAATCAGGACACACAACGGATGAGCATATGGTGTTTCTTTTGCTCGTGGCCTTAGGTCTCCTGATGTCCTATGGATCCTTCAGGCTACTTTTGTCTTCTTCTCATCCAAACATCTACACCTACTTAAGCATCTCCTCAATTTCTGCCTAGTCCAATCTTGTGTGTATGGATTGTAGGGGCAAAACTGAGCACTAGGGCTTCTAGTGCTTCTAGAAGCACTGAGCTTCTAATACAGATATTTAACATGAAGCAGGGGACTTTTATATGTTTTATATTGCTTAATAACAATGAAGAGGTAAATATAAAAATGGCAGAGAATGTCCCAGAGCACATTCCAAGTCTTCTCGACCGCAGACATTCACTGAGATCACATCACAGCAGATAGCACTTGCATCTAAATGCAGAGACTCTGAGGGGACAAGTCCAAGCACAAAGAGGATGGGCCTCAAAATCACAATCCCCTGCCAATTAAAATCATGTATACAGGGATGCCTGGCGGGCTCAGTCGGAAGAGCACAAGACTCTTGATCTCAGGGTCTTGAGTTTGAGCCCGATGTTGGGTGCAGAGACCACTTAAATACAATTTTTTAAAAAAGGTAAATAACTCTTAAAAAATAAACTAAAATCATGTATAAAGAAAAGATTGAAGGATTAAGCAAAGTGAGTTTCTGCCATTGACACTGCTTCCTGTCCTTCATAAGTGATTGGCATTTCTCAACGGTGATAAAATATCACATCCTAGGGGCGCATGGGTGGCTCAGTGGGTTAAAACCTCTGTTTTCGGCTCAGGTCATGATCCCAGGGTTCTGGGATCGAGCTCCTCATCGGGCTCTCTGCTCAGCGGGAAGCCTGCTTCCTCCTCTCTCTCTCTGCCTGCTTCTCTGTGATCCCTATGTGTCAAATAAATAAATAAAATCTTAAAAAAAATCACATCCTGTCTTCCTCGACAAATCAAATATAAGTCAGTGTGCAGCAAAATTAACCACATATTATACAGATGCTCAAATTTGCAGTTATATTTACACAATGACATGAGCTCCTTTTATCTGTGTTTTTCCTGATACCACTAACATAAAAACTGTTGATTAGCAAACATTGCTTTATTGAAGCTTATGTGATTCGGAATATCTTATCAACCCTTTCGGACTTCATAGCAATCTTGACTTTGTCCTCAGTCTATCAGTGCAGGATAGGGGCCACGCGATATCTGTGGAGAGAATCTTGGACTTTGTCAACACGCAGACTTTTCATTTTTTACCTTATGAAAAACAGGAATCACATTCATTGAATGAAATCATTGGCATCCATTCTTCTCTACCTAAATAAAGGTTTTAGTTAGCTTCACCTGATACCCATGTCTTCACATGACAAGTAACTTATAGCCTAGAGAAAGGTGTCCAGTCAGGGTCAAGGCCCTGACCTGCTTCCTTCAACTGGTCTTTCAGTGGTAATCTCTGCATTTCTGCTACCTGCATTGAGAATAAATTCTGGAAGTCATTTTGTATATATAGATAAAGATCAGGAGCTCTTTTCACTGGATCTGGAAATCCTTGCAACAATGAGCGAGTCATCTGTTTTCTGTGTCATAAATGAATCTGTCCAAACTGACTGCAAAGATTATTAGCCATACTTCTGCTAATGTGGCACTCACAGTATTTATCCTAGGCTGACATACATCTGCAAGAGACTCAGAAAACCACTCTTATTTCACAGTCTTTAAACTGACAAATGATTATACATGTGTGTGCACATTTTAAAGAAAAGTGGGCCACCTGGGTGGTCACAGAGAATATGCAACTAATATGATAAAATTATGATAAACACAAGAAGTATTTTAGGGATCAGATCTCATTATGTCATCACCGTCTATGTTGACTGATACAACAGTAGTCAAAAAGGAAGAACCAAACAAGCTTTTGACCTTACATTGTTTTATTTTTCCAGTTTCCCTCTGCATGCCTGCAGGTTACAGAAGCATATCCTCACATCTGTACTTCTGTCTCAGGTATTATAGTGTAAGACTGTGTCCTTCTTCTTAAGATTGTTGTAGAATGAGAGCTGAGACAACAAGCCTTGATAAGGACCTCCTGAAACCTATTTCAGGAAAAATAATGCAGAAAGCTGTAAATAAGCCAAAACATCATTCAGAATCATTTTACCTAAATCCTCAGAGTTTTATTCCCATCCTATTCCTAAAGGTATATCCTGGCCTCCAAAGTCTATCCCACATTACTGAGTTGCTGTTATTTAATACATAGGCCCCAGAGTGGGCACCGTAGAAGTCAATGTCAGTCCCTACATTGCCAAGTTATCCGGGGATCCAGCTATGTGTCATGGTGTGCGTGAACATTTTCCAGCTTATTTTTCTGTGTCCACAGAATTTATAGAAGGTAAAGGAAAAAGAAAATCTATCCGTTAAAAGATATCCAGGATGACACGAACTAAGGAGAGATATGAGTTTGTGGCTTTCCTTTTCTGTCTTGAATGTGGAAAAATTAGCCTGGCTATTTCTGGAAACTTAGCTTCTTATGAGAGTCTAGAAATTTAATCTGTGCCTTTTGGACACAGATTAAATATTAAATTAAATTAAATAATATATATTTGTATGTGTGTGATTTTATGTCTGTCTATACATAAATGTGTAAAGAAGATTTCATAAAAGAATATACCTAAGATTTTCTACATGTATGAGGGGGGGAATCATTGTGTTTTCCAAAAATGTATTTAGCATTCTTTTTTAAGACACTTCTGTGAGGTTAAGTCTACATTTTCTCTCTTACTGCTTAAAAAAAAATCATTTGTATTTATCTGAGCAAACCGTTGTCAATTTGTGACTTTATTTTTCTTTCTTTTTTTTAAATTTTATTTTATTTAAATTCAATTGATTAACATAGGGTTGTGACTTTATTTTTCAAGGTTATTTTCATCTCTGTGTGGCCAGATTCTAAGACCTGGTCAAGCCAAAGTAAGAAAAATTACTGTGAACCACTCCTGAATGACTCACTTAAAATAAATGTGCATCTGTTTCTCTTTTTCTTTTCCTGTCCCTTAGAATGCACACACAGGGACTGGAATTGAAATAGCAGGCAGGGTTACAGACATGAATTCACAGGCTGAAGAGACTAAGACTGTTCAACCATCCCTGATTTTCTAAAGATATTTTCTTTTCATAAGCTCAAAGGCCAACACTGCAAAACCCAGAACTGTTTGACATCTGCAACAATTCCCAGATCTCCCTACACCCTCAGGAAGTGAGGTACAACAATCAAGCACCCCCCAAAGAGGGAAAACTCCTCGATACCCAGAGGATAGTAAATAAAGGGCTATTTCATAAGTGAGCAGAGGAGAAAGCCACACCATTGCTTGGACTTCTCAGAATCAGATAATTCCTATGGATGGGCAACATTAAGGTTATCAATGATTTGTTTATGAAAGTGGAGACTGTTATTATTATTAAATTTTATTTTAGTGCAAAAGGTGTTTTAAAAAAAAAAAAAAAGAAAAAAGACTTTATTTATTTATTTGTTTATTTGACAGAGTGAGAGCACAAGCAGGGGGAACAATAGAGGAAGAGGGAGAAGCAGACTCCCTGCTGAGCAGAGACCCCAACACGGGGCTCCATCCCAGGACCTGGGGATCACAACCCCAGCCGAAGGCAGATGCTTAACCATCTGAGCCACCC